GTTTTATATCCTAGAATATGGACTATTATGGTAAATGTACCATATGAACTTAGAAAAAACTATAATCTGCCCTTATTGGGTGTATGGTTCTTCAAATATCAATGATGTCAAGGTGGTTGGTAGTGCTATTCAGACTGTGCATAAAATTGTTTATGTTTAATAAACACAAAAATCACTCACTCATCCTTATCATGCATCCTTCTTTAACTCTAGTAATATATCTTTTAAAAATCTATTTCATCTGATATTAATATAGCCATTCCAACATTCTGTATTTACTGTTTGCATTGCATATCTTTTTTCATCCATTTATTTCAACCTTTCTGTGTCTTTATAAAGTATGTCTATTGTAGGCAGCATAAATCTGGGTCTTGTTGTTTTATTTATGTGTTTTAAATACATCTGACAACCTCCTCTTCTTTTTTTTTTTTTTTTTTTTGAGACAGAATCTTGCTCTGTCACCATGGGTAGAGTGCAGTGGTGTCATCTTAGCCCATTGCAACCTCAAACACCTTGGCTCAAGCAATTCTTGTGCCACCATGCCGGGCTCATTTTTCTATTTTTAGTAGACACAGGGTCTCACTCTTGCTCAGGCTGGTCTTGAACTCCTGAGCTCAAACAATCCTCCCACCTCGGACTCCCAGAGTGTTAGGATTACAGGCATTGGCTACTGTACCAGGCCAGCAACCTTCTCTTCTTAATCAAAATGTTTAACTCATTAAGGTTTAATATAATTATTGATGCATTTGTATTTGGTGCTTCTATTTTATTTTATTTTTTATTTATTTCCTCTGGTTTTTGTATCTCTGTTTCTTTTTCCCTCGATATATTTTACAATTAGATGTTAACTTTCCTATTGATTTTTAAAAAGTATGCTCTTTGCAGTGATTTATTAGTGACTGTTCTATTAATAATTGCCCTATTACAACATCTATCCTTAACCTTTCATGTTCATCTTCCAGTTAATGTACCATTCCATGTAAAATATGGAAAACTTGCAACACATGGGTCTATACCACCCATCCTTTATGCTATAGTTGTTATATATAATACATCTACATAAATTATAAATCCCATAAGAAAATGTTATTTTTATTAAAACTGTTATATTGTCCTAAAAAGTTGAAAGAAAATTACATAAATAAAAATAATCTCATTGTGATATAAACATATAACATAAAAATTATCATCTGAGTTATTTTAAGTGTACAATGCAGTAATGTTAACATTTTTCATCTTGCAAAACTGAAACTCTATACTCATTAAATGACAATTCCCCTTTTCTATCCCCTTCCATGCTCAAGCATGGAATGATCATGCTCCTTTGGAGTTTGACTACTTTAGGAACCTGAGATAAGTGGAATCATGCAGTATCTGTCATTTTGTTACTAGCTTATTTCATTTAGCATAATGTCCTTAACTTTCTTCCATGTTGTAAAATATATGTAGTAGTACTTTGGGGATTTTTTCTGTGTATTATTTCATTGTATTAATATACAACAATTTATTTCTCCATTTTATCTTATAGTAATAATTATTTCTTATAAAAATAAGCCAGGTTATGCTGTTCTAATGGTAATAGAATAAATATAAACATAGCTTATATACCATGCAGGTATGATTGAACATGTATATCACTTCAAAATTTTCTGAGTAGGTTTATAAAATAATGAAGATCATCAATGTATATCCAAATTAATTTGAATGTTTATTAAAGCTAACTACATTATTGTTAGTTAAATACTTATTTAATATACAACATATATGTATGTTTTAAGTGGTCAATATCATAATAGAGGTGTGTTTTTCATAGGCCATGTAATTGTACCTATTGCCTACTGAGTTTCCTTAGATAATCAATTCAGGAAGTAGCTCATTATTCATTTTACAAAATTAAAGATTAATTTTTATGTAAAATAATTATATGTTTTATTTATATGGTATAGTTTATAGTTTTGCTTTTTTAACCCATTATTGGTAAAATGATGAATTTATTTTACTTTAAATTTTCACTCAGAAATTATGTCCCATTATATGTTACTATTATATCATTTCTAAGAAAATATATTATCATATTTATAACATACTAGGAACATATTGCTCTGACTCACAAAAAATAAATAGGTTAACAGCAGAGGGTGAAAGAAGGCTTTACAGGCACAGGAACACACCAAAAACCAAAATGATAAGAAAAAAAAAACACCTGAGACTCAGGAAAGCCCTGCATATTTGGGTAAAGACAAGTGATAGTATGGGCTGAATCACTGAGGGTGTGGAAGGGCAAGAAAGAGGTGGTTGGAGTTAAGAATGATAATCACTCGTCCTACTCTTTGCACTCTCAGTAGAGGACAATAAAAAATAAGACACAAGATCCTTACAGAAGGAAATCAAAATATCAGCTTTAATACTCATAAAGTTAACTGGAGGACACGGCTTAGATCTTCAGGCACAATGAGGTTTTCTAATTCCCTCATTGCTTTCCTCAGATAAGTCTAACGAACCCAGACACAAGGAGATAGGGACAACATCCCGCCTTCCCTACCAAGGGGGGATGGGACACATGAAAGAGGATACAAATCCTTGCCCAGAGGACAGGCCAGCCCTGAAAAGAGAACCGCAAGGAGACTGGGCCATTCATCTTCAGTTCAGTCTCCCAGCTTCACCAGGGAGGAGTCACTGCATTCCCTTAAGGAGGAGAAGAGCAGAGATATGGATAGAGGAAGGTTTCCTCCCATTCTTTACCTGCTGGGGCATGGAAGGTAGGTGTGCATTTAAAAGGAATCACCTGCTTTGGACCAGAGAGAATTGGCCCATTTAAAAAAATGGGGAATCGTTTGCTCAAACCAGGTTTCTTCTTGTGAAAAACCGTATAATTACTTATCACATGAAAGCACATAGTTGCAAGTCAAATTCTTGCCTCCAAAGTTCCATAAATATAGCTCAGAACAGTTTTACTGCTGAAATATTTATTTTTTCAAAGTGTCTCAAAAATGTAACTATTATAAAAAATGTGAAGAGAGCAACCTCTCAACGACTATTTCCTCTCCAGCCCAGATGTTTCCGTATATTGGGTGATGGCCTTCCCTGCTTCTGGGGACCCAGGTCATTCTATACAATCTCTTAGTAAATAAACAAAATGTAAGCTGTTTTAGAAGCCTGCTTTCCTATACCATAAGTAACTTCAATAAGAAAAAGCATAGATATTGTTCTGGAACAATTCACCAGCATTTCCTACTTGCAGTAACATTCTTGAAGTCAGAGGACAGGACACTCCACTCTGCCATTACTTGTATGAGGAAAGAGGGACACAGAAATAGCCAAAAGTGGTTCTAGAGAACTGATCCTACTGCCCACTAGCTAGGCCCTCTGGTGCATGAGCTGTCCAGAGAAGAACAAATCCATATGATGTTAGCCAGAGAGAACATGAACTATTTTCAAAATATGCGTAGGATGTATGGAAATCACAAGACATTGTATAGCATCCAGGACTACTAAAGGAGGCACCACTGCCACCTGTAGGCTAGAGTGGTAAGGAGAGCTGTGTGGGAGGGGCCCTGGGCATGGGAGTGACTCCCGGGAGAAGGATGCAGCCCACAGCACTCGCACAGAGAGAGGCCAGAGGAACAAATATGATGCTCTCTTCTTTCCCTGCATTGCTTGCTAAGACAGAGAGCAAGAGAGTCTGCTAATGCAGCCCGTATCTGCCAGACTCCCGGAGGACAGAACAGGATGAGTAAGTGTTGAGAATGCATTTGGATGGGCAAACAGAGGGTAATCGGCATACTCAGAAACACACCCTACAAAGGAGGCCCAAATCAATAGGAAGAGTAAAGTGATAAAATGTAAGCCACACAAATACCTTGGGCTCATTGGATAGGAGGGCTGGAAACAGCAATAAAACATCCAGGTTCTCCAGGAGGGTGGGGGTCTGTTGAAAACTGCCAGTGTTTGTAAGAAATGGAATAGGACCAGAGTAAGTGGGACAGAGTCCATGGTTTCAGCTCTAAATGTTTGGGAAGAACAAAGGCAGAGGAAGCCAGGATGCACAAACAGCAAAACAGACCTCTTCCATTCCTAGGGGGAATCATTGATTTAGAATTGGCAAATCCAAAATTTTACTCAACAAGTAGAGCATCAGGATAAACATACATGTGCTCTGTTATGAATTTTGTTTATGATCATTTATCAAGAGCAGAAAATATATCCAGGAGAGAAGCTCAGAAGACAAAAGACAAATGACCAATTCAGATGCAATGTTTCTCTCCTTAATGGTACATCAGTAACACAGAAACACCTAGCCTGTACCAGGTGGGAGGTGTACCAGACGCTTGTCACATGCCTATAGAACCTCTTCCCATTTGGTACACACCAGCTTAAAGTAAGCTTTCACAAACTCCCAACAGCCGACATCAACTCTTATTTGCCAGAGAGTTCCACTCAGGGTGCCAGAGCCTGTGTCCCTGCTCAAGAGAGCCCAGGGAGCCTGGAAACTTAGGTCCCCTGGAGCATCCTTGGACCCATGACCGACAAGTGTCAGGGCATAATTACTCTACATCCCTGGTCCCTGCCCAGGAAAATTCTGAGGCATGTCACACAATGTCTTCAAAGACTCCATGAGGACTTGAGCCAAAGTTGCCCAGTATCAGAATTTGCCTGACATTGCACACTTTCTCAGTGTTCCTCACATTCACTTCTGCATTCCTCTGCTGGATTTGCCTAGAATGCCTCCAGAGAAATCACTTTAACATGAATCTTCATCTTAAGTCTTCTGGTGAACTCAATCCACAACTGAGGGGAAGGAAACCAATGAAGAATGTGGAAGAAGATTGCACCCAGAGGAAAAGTGGTGAAAAAAACATTTGAGGAAAAATTTTAAACCATCACTTTTTAGAAAGAAAATATTTAGAATTCAGAACATATGATGAAAGAATTCAAAAACAAAATACACTTTACATATCAGTACTTCTTCAATTCACAGGAAAAATCTCGAGAGTTCTCACCTCAGGAAACTATCTTTTGAGTAGAGAGTATAGCGTGGCCGCCAGTTGGCTGCAGAAGACAATGGTGTGTCCCAGTGGTTCTCAGAGGTTGGTTCCCAGAGCAACAGTAGAAGCGTCACCTAGGAACTCCTTAGGAATAAAAATTCTTGAGTCCTAACCCAGACCTTCTGAATCAGAAACTCTGTGAATGGAACCCAGAATCTGCATTTTAGTGAGCCCTTCAAGTGATTCAGACACATACTTAAATTTGAGACCACTGGTGTAGCCCCTGGTCCCAGGAAGTGAACTGGGGTACATGCATTTATTTACCTGATCCAAAGAAAAAGAAAGCTTTTGTATTTGCCTCAGGAAACAGAAAATGAAGGATAGTGAAAGGAGAATGTGTCAGAGATGAAGATGATCAGCAGGATGCTTATGACTACGAAATTCACCAGCGTGTGAAACAGGTAAAGGACAGTTTGATGAAAAGAGATGTGCCGCACACACAGTGGTTAATGATGTAGTGGTCACAGAAAGACAGACCGACCATTACCTCTGGTTGGCCCATGACGTCATCAATACCTACCCCAATAAAAAACAAGCACAGCAGAGAACAGACTGGAGGGACACAGATCCCATAGTGACCCTAGGCCACAAGTATTAAAACAGAGTGATCACTAATAACAAAGCCACAGAAGAAAAGAGGAGAATCTTGCACTTTAAATTGCTGATGTTCCTCCCAGACATAGAGTTCATTATCATTTTAATTGAAATGACAAAGGAGGAGGAGGTCTAAGAAGAACAAGCTGAAGACAAGCTCACCAGGATTCTGAGGAGAGACTTCAGCCAAGTTAAAGTGACCAAGCTCTAAAAATAAGGGGAGGAGTATAGGCTGGAGTTCTCGTCCATTTGTGAAACAAACAAAAATAAAGTAGTCCCTGTTGAGACATTCCCTCTGGGAGTCATCTCTGCAGGTAGGAAAGAAGAACCTCTTTATAGATCAAACCAATTCCATGACTCTGAAATGAGAATTTCTGTCACTGTAACAGGAGAATGACTTGCATTAACTCAGGGAAGATGAGCAATGAATGCATGAATGCCTGTCTCTTCTTGTCTCTCTCTGCACTTATCTGTGCCCTTCTAAAGTGAGTACACTCCCAGGTTTGAAAAATGCCCTGATGCAGTCAGCTCCTCTGGGAGGTCAGCAATCCAGGCTGGGCTACATACGGTGTGCACTGAGAAACCAGTACTCACAGCAAGACAGGGAAACAGTATTTCAGAGAGGTTCAGTAGCTTCCCAGGTTACTTAGGGACTATATCTTGAATAAGGAATGAGAAGTGGGAAGAGACTTAGAGACATCATGATCTCTGCCTTCATTGCTTCAGTCACCCTCACCCCAGAACCCAATTAGAGGAGGAAGAGTTCCTAAAACACTCAGTTTTCAGGCCTCCATGTTAGGAAGAAGAACATAAGAGACACAGGATGCCTCCATGCAACCACGCCCCTTGTTCAGCTTAGGGTCAGCAGTGCGGTCTTACAGCCCTTGTACTCCCACTTCCCAGAGGGACGGTGACTGGGGTGGATGGGCAAGGGTGGGAGTGTCCTGAGTATATAACTTCTCTTTTTCTGTTATGGCAGGAAAACTAAAGCCTACAGTATCCTAGAATCAACTCTGATCCAAACATCGTGATTTCAAATCAAGTTTGCGCCTGGCTACTCCTTTCCAAAGAAAGGAAACATCATCTGTCCATGGCACTAGGGCCATAAGATGATATTTGACAGGGGATTTCTTTTACATATATATAGATCAGAGATCTGGCTGGAAACCCAAAGAAATTTCCCTCAGGTACTCTCATAGGAGGAGCTTCTATAACAAACAAGAAAATGCAGTTTTTACAAAGAGAACAACTTTGATTTCTACACAAAATTTTACTTCCCACAAGGGCTTCTTATTGCAGGAGTAGAAGCAAGAGCTCCTCTTTCCAGACTGCTGGGTGGGTACAGGGTTGACTCTAAGTGGGAGTGCCTACACTGGCTCCCAGCAAGGGTGACAAATACTCAAGGACACAGAGTGTGAGCCTGGCAATTGGGTAGGGTCCTAACACGCTCAACATGGCAAAGCCCCTCACCATATTACCTTTTTCAGTAAAATTATCTAGAAACTCTCAAAGTTACCAAAGATTTTGTGTTATCAAATAACAATGAAATCTGCCCCAAAAGGGCTTAAAACCTGTGCATGAAAGAAAGAGAAGTAAATGTCATATTACCATTGGCTCTGCGGAAGCAGTAATGTGCTGTGTAGAGACAGCAGGAAAGAATCACACATAACCATGGTGACATTTTTCTAAAGATACTTCACTTATGGAGGCAAGAATCAGTACATGTTCTCTATTATTTTGGCTAAGGCAGAAGTTCAGTATATGAATGATTCATACTTTTATTCAATAACTATTCCATAATTCCATAATTTCTACATTTGGAAAAGACTATAAAAATTAAATTATACCCAATTGCTATAAAAAGTTTCCTCCAAAACATGGTGTTAATTGAATGATGGTGCAATTTTTTTCTAGACTTTACCTTCTTAAATAATGCTACAGATTTTTCCCATAAAAATAAAATGTGTTTGAAAATTGGAGTGGACATAACACTTTTAAATTCAGGTCAGATAACCACTGATCTGCTCTCCATTTCTATAATCTTGTCACCTCAAGACTGTTATATAAATGGTATCATACAGAATTTAATCTTTAGGACTTTCATGAAGCATAATTCTCTTACATTTGGACCAAGATGTTACACTCTGACACTAGGGAACAAAGGGAAACATGGGTGAGAAACTATATATATAACATACCAAAAAAAATAGCCACAAGACTGTAAATGTGGAAAGGAAGACGCATCCCTCGCTTTTCTTAATTTGGGGCAGAAAAAAAGAAGGGAGGAGTATCAAAGGGAATTTTTAAGGGTAAATCAGGCTTGCATTTGTTTAGCGATAGAAAAGTCAGTAAAGATGAAGAGATTAGAGGTCTAAGAAAAATGAGGAGATTTTGAGGGAATAAATCCCAAAGAAGAAAAGAATTTGATGAAATTCAACATATACTCATGTTTTTAAAATACTTAATTGAATCAGGGAATGATGGATACTTCCTTAAGATAGGAAAATATATAAATTTCAGCCAAAAGCCACCAATTTAGTTTGAAAACACTGGAGTCAAAACCCGAATGCCTACAGTCTTCATTATTATTTAGGATATGTTAAAGATATTAGAAAATACAATTTTAATAGGAAAGGAATGAGGCATAAGAATCAGAAGGGAACAAGTACAACTATCTCTCTATATAGAAAACTTTTTATTATATATTTGTAAAACCTGAAAGAATCAATGGGAAAACCTCTACAAATAATAACAGTTATGGTACAAAGTAGAAAATTAACATACAATAATCAATACAGTTTACTTATACAAATAATAATCAGAGCTAATAAAAAATAAGACCCTCTTTACAGTAAACAAAATAAAATTCCCAAGTATTATATAAGAAGTATGCATAACATAGATAAAGGAAAATATGAAACACTCTTAAAAGATACTCAAGTAGACCCCCCAAAATGGGATGACACACCACAGTTCATGATTGGAAGCCTCAAGATCCAAAGACATCGATTTTCCCTAAGTTTACTTATAAATTTTAAGATGCAATCTTAAACACATCTGTGCAGCAAATACGCCATCGGGATTTTTCCTGGACCTAAACAGATTAATTATAAAGATTATGGTGAAACTTGAATACTCAGCAAAACCCTAAAAAAGAGGAAAAATATGTGGGAAGGTACCCTCAAGATATGAAAACAGAATGAAGTTTCTATAGTTAAAGCAATGTGGTATTGCCTTATGGATAAACTGATAGACCAATGGAACAGATTGAAAAAACACAGAAATAGCCCAACTGCCTTTGAAATTTAGTATGTGATAAAGGCAGGAGCTCAAATGTAAGGAAAAGAGGGTTTTTTTGTTTTTTTTTTATAAATAGTGATAGAACAACTGGATAGCCATATGAAAAAAGATAAAGCTGGATCCATTCCTCACATAATACATTGGTTTCTAAATAGATCAGACATCCAAATGTAAAAGAATGAAATCATACAATACTATGAAAAAATGAGTGAATTTCTTCAAACCTAAGAAGAGCTAAAACATTTCTGTGATTAAAACACCAGAAACAATAAAAGATTAATAAATTTAATTTTAAAATAAATAATTTTATATGATAAGTCAAAAGCCAAATCACAAATTGGGAAAAATGTATGCAACTTACACTTCAGACAAAAAAAAATATCCCTAATATACACCTCTAAAATTTGAGATGATCAAAATCCCAATAGAAAAGTGGGGAAAAGGTGTGAAATAATAGACCATATAAGAATGCCAATAGTCATTAAAAACATCCCCAATCGGGCCGGGCGTGGTGGCTCACGCCTGTAATCCTAGCACTTTGGGAGGCCGAGGCGGGCGGATTGCTCAAGGTCAGGAGTTCAAAACCAGCCTGAGCGAGACCCCGTCTCTACCAAAAATAGAAATAAATTAATTGACCAACTAAAAATATATATACAAAAAATTAGCCGGGCATGGTGGCGCATGCCTGTAGTCCCAGCTACTCAGGAGGCTGAGGCAGTAGGATCGCTGAGCCCTGGAGATTGAGGTTGCTGTGAGCCAGGCTGACCCCACGGCACTCACTCTAGCCTGGGCAACAAAGGGAGACTCTGTCTCAAAAAAAAAAAAAAAAAAAAAAAAAAAAAAAAAAATCCCCAATCTTTCTCATAATAAGAGAAGTACAAATAAAACAACACAAAAACTGTTTCTCGACTATTAGAAAATTTGAAAATTTTAAGAATATACTATTGGAGACACTGTAGGAAAGCAGGCACTCCTATTTATTACTAAATGGAATTCAAATGTCTATTCTCCCCAGAAAGATCCACTGATTCAAGACAATGACAATCAAAATCTCAGACATTGTTGTAGGAATTTACAAGCAAATTCTAAAATTAATATGGAAATTCAAAGGACTTAAAACAGCCAAAACAACTTTTTAAAAGGTGACTGAATGTAGAGGACTTACACTAACTGATTTCAAAAAATATTTTAAAGCTATATATTCTCAAAAAGTAGTGCAAAGAAAAAATAGAAAGATAAAAAAAGGAAAAATAAAGCTATAGTAATCAAAACTGTGTGATATTAGCATCTGGATAAATAGATATATAAAAGGAACAGAATAGAGAGAACAGAAACAGACATACACAAATAGGATCAATTGATGTTTAAGGTGAAAGGACAGCAACTAGAAAGCTATGTGCAAAAACAAAAATGCCATAAAAACAACTTTGATCCATGTTTCACACTATATACAAAAAATTAAGTCAAAATGGATTATAGACCCAAACATAAAAACCTATAAGATTTCCATAATAAAACATAGGAGAAAATTTTTGTGATATTTTTTAAGCAAAATATTCTTGACATGACAACAAAACTACAATTGATGAAAGAAGACAGTGATAAATTGGACTTCATTAAAATTTAAAATTTTTGTTAATAGAATGAGGAGACAAACCACGATTGCATATTTGATAAAGGACTTGAATCCAGAGTATATGAAGAATCTTTGGGCCTCAATAATAAGAAATAAACAACCTAGCTTAAAGATTGGGAAAATTATTTGAATAAACACTTCACCAAATATTATTTATGGATGGCAAACGACCACATGAAAAGATTCTCGTCATCATTAGTCATTAGGAACTGCAAATTAAAACCACAATGAGATACCACTACACGCCAACTAGAATGTCTTCAATTAAAAAGTAGACCATCCCCGAGTGTTGGTAAGAATGTGGAGAAACTGAAACTCTCAAATACAACTAGTGGGACTGTAAAATGGTGCAACGACTTGGAATAGAGTTTGGTAGTTTCTTAAAAAGTTAAATACACCTATGATATGATGCAACCATTCCACTTCTAGGTATTACCAAAGAAAAATGAAGATATGTCCATACAAAAGCTTGTACATGAAGCTCATAGTTTTGTTTGTAAGAGTCAAAAGTGGAAACAACCCAAATGTTCATCAATAGGTGAACAGATAAACAAATGGTGGGATGCTCATATAATGAAATACTACTCAGCAATAAAAAGTAAATAATTATTAATGCACATACTACTTGGAAAATTCTCAAAATACACTGGTTAATAGAAACCAGACAAAAATGAGTGTATAGTGTATGATTCTATTTATATTATATAAAAATCTTGAAAATAAAATAAATAGTGACAGAAAGCAGATTTAAGAGCAGGGAAGAAAAGAAGCTGGGAAGAGGGGAAGCTGGGAGGAGGGGGCCTCAAAGGGACAAAACTGTGGTGACGATTTCACAAGCATATATATGTGTGTCAAAACTTATCAAAATTAACACTTTAAATGTGTATTGTATAGCAATTGTATCTTTTTAAAACATAAAAATAGATAAATAAACAAATATGTAAATGTTTATTAAATTGAAAATGCTTGTAACCCTGGCACCTTCTGGCCTCCAGTGTCTTGCCCCTGCAAAGCATCAACCAAATAGAGGCAGAGGTCATGTAACCACTGGGTGGAGGCAGACAATCAGGAGAACCGAAATGCAGCCAGACCTGAGCTGCCATGGCTGTGCTGTTGCCTCCACCTCCCCACGTCTTCCTTCTCTGTCATACCCTTCCCCATTGCGCTTCTTCTGATCTCAGGAAGAATAGTAAAAGATCCCTTGAACAGACCACAGATAACAGTAACCATACAAGGCCAAGTTGGTTAATTAAGCTTCATTAAAATTAAGAACATCTGTTATCAAAAGATACCACTAGGCTGGGCGTGGTGGCTCACGCCTGGAATCCTAGTTCTCTGGGAGGCCGAGGCAGGCAGATTGCTGGAGATCAGGAGTTCAAAACTAGCCTGAACAAGAGCAAGAAATTAATTGGCCAACTAATATATATAGAAAAATAATTAGCCGGGCATGGTGGCGCATGCCTGTAGTCCCAGCTACTAGGGAGGCTGAGGCAGGAGGATTGCTTGAGCCCAGGAGTTTGAGGTTGCTGTGAGCTAGGCTGACACCACGGCACTCACTCTAGCCTGGGCAAAAAAGTGAGACTCTGTCTCAAAAAAAAAAAAAAATTGGGCTGGGCACACTGGCTTACACCTATAATCGTAGCACTGCAGGGGAAGGAAGGATTGCTTGAGGTCAGGAGTTCAAGATCAGCCTGAGCAAGAGCAAGAGCAAGAAAAAAAGAATGCTGTTGAAGTTTATTTATTGACATGAAAAGATGCCAATGATATAAAACACCACATGTACCCACTATGAAATTGGAACTAAGGAATCAACACTCATGTGCATATATGGAAGTAAAACTCAACAGAAATCAAGCAGGTAGGAGGGGAGTGGAAAGGATGGGTAAAATCACACCTAATGGGTACAATGCACACTATCTTGTGATGGGCACACATATAACTTTGACTTCAACTGTATAAAAGCAATTCATGTAGCCAAAACATTTGTACCCCTGTAATATTCTGAAATTAAAAAAAAAATGTTTCAAGGTGGTATTGTTGGGCCGCAGAGATGTACAGCCCGTGTGGGGGAGAGACGGCCGCTCGAAAAGACTCAGAGTCCAGAGACTTGATGCAATAGCATGAGGATTTATTTACCAGCGCGCG